ATAATTATCTTGAAGGAAAATACTGAAATGCAGTTTTATTTGCAAAGTGCCAATTTACTGATTTTATCATGTTTCATTTTGATATCTACATATCTGTTCTGTAATTTAATTTCAGTTCTGCTCGTTTAATGCTTCACAGGATTTTGCTGGGAGTTTTGATGCAGACAGGTTTATTTCTTGTATAAAACTCAAATTATTTCCCTGGGTCCAGGGAAGCTTTGAAGATAATTTAAGTGTTGAGTAATAAATAATTCACATTCAGGACAAGAAATGGTGTGATTAATGTAAAATTTAATGTAAATTAAATGTAATTTAGTTTACATTAATGTAATTAATTAAAAGAAATGTAATTTATCCTTTAAATTACCTTTATATTGATATTGTATAGATATGAAAGCTTAAAATTTTGGAAGTGAACCGTGCAGTGCATTTATTTTCATTTTGATGGTGCTGAATTGTCCTAAAGTAGAGCACTATAAAATCCCAAAACATCTTGTTTTCTATGGAATTACAGCTGTGATCCCATTCCATTCAGCTTTAATCTTGTGCATTTGGCAGTGTCAAAAGAAAAGGTGATTTTTCTACACTGCTTTTATTATTCATGAACCTGAACTCTTTGTAGCTTAATAAAATTTAAAATATTACAGATGGGTTTCCCATGGAATTCTGTTGTTGAGCAATTTTTTCCAAGCTGGAATATTTTAATTTATTGGAATTGGCCTATTGGTGACTTCTGGAAGAAAATTAAAGCACTTGGATCACCTATGAAAATAGTTATTGAAAGAATTCTATCAATATTTCATTTTCTAAGGGGAAGAATTGACTGGGAACAGTTTGCCATCCTATTTCAGTTGTGGGAGATATAAATATTTCATATTTGTGGGAATGTGCTTGGATTTAGTCCCTTGAAAGATCCTTTTCTCTGTTTCCCAGTGGTCCTATGCCCTGGAGAAGCCCAACACAGGCAGCATTTTCAGCATTTCCTGGTCCATCGATGGCACCCAGCTGGCAGGAGCCTGTGGCAACGGCCACGTCATCTTTGCCCACGTGGTGGAGCAGCACTGGGAATGGAAAAACTTTGAAATTACCTTAATTAAGAGAAGAACCATGAAGGTAAAATCAATTCAGAGCCATCTGAGCACTGATTTTCATGCAAAATTGGTATTTTTTAATCTGTGTTCCCAGACACTGACTCACAACATTCACTCTCTGGGATAATAAAGATTTCCGTTCTTCCACATTTTCCAAATTACACATTTGGTCTTTTCAATATCAACTTCCTAAATTCCTAATTAGAACCTTAAACGATTTTTTTTTTCTTTTCCTGTAGGATTTGTAATTGGGACAAGTTGGAGCAGCAGCAGTGCTGGGGTGGGGTTTGGGGCAGTGGGTGGGATGTCGTGACTCAGTGTCTGGGAACACAGAGCACAAATCAGGTGAAAATTCCCATTTTTTTGCTCTCATTCCCAGACATCGACTCGTACCAGCTGCACTCTGGGAATCCTCTCCAGGGAATTTCAATTTTCYCAGAGTATGAAAAGGCTGAGGAAGTGTAGCTAACTTTGAGTCAGGACTCGTTCTTAATTCTGGTATTTTATTCCTATATATTTATGAAGGAAAATCCTACCAAAAAAAGTTGCAAATGGATTTTTTTTTCCCCGAGTATTACAATAGCAAAGTTAATTAGTGATGCTGTTGTGGACTTAGCAATTAATTAACATATCCTGGAGATGTTTCTGGGCTCTTGGAATAATTGAGTTCAGTCCTTGTTTTGCAATTGGTTGCATAGGGGAGAACATCAAGGAAGTTACCACCCTCAGAATGGTGACATCTTCAAAAAAAACCCAAAAAACCCCACAAACAAACAGGACACTGGTTTGTTTAAAGTATTCCCTTGGATTTTTAGCTTCTTAAAATCTCTGAGCTGAAAAATCTGTGTTGATTTGACACAAATTCTGATTTTCTTGAGCTGATTTTAAGTGAAATAGCCAAGACACAATGTGCTCACCCAGCCCGTTTCCTGAACTCCTTGTGCTTCCAAGTGTGGAATCATCAAAATTCCTTCTGGAGCTCTGCAGCATCTTCATCCCAGTCCTGGATGGTTTGTATGCCATCACTGAAGTGTTCATTTTAAATATTCAAATAATCAATTACGGAACATTCTTAAAATGAGGATTTTCAGGCCTCCACCMTCTGAGATGATTTGCTAATTTGACAAATGAATTTTCATTTTCAGGCCTCCTCCATTTCAAATTATTTTCAATTTTGCTAATTTGACTAATGARTWTYCCTTTCATCTCTTTTGTTTCCTGCYATGCCCATTTTCCTTTGCTCAGGTGCACAAYGTGGTGAACGACGCCGTGGATTTGTTGGAATTCCGGGACAGGGTGATCAAAGCCTCCCTGAATTATGGATATCTGGTGGTTTCCACTTCCCTTCAGTGCTACGTCTATTCGTGAGTAACACMAATTCCTCAGCTTCATCAAAATCTTGGAAAAGTGGCAGAAATTGGGTTGGAAGCGCAGTAATTAATTTATTTTTTAATTAATTCAAATTTTCCATGGATTTTTTGCCCAGTGAACAGTAATGCTGCTCTAATGGAGTCCAGAGAGGGACTCTCCAACCTCCAGACTTCAGAAATATTTTAATAATCAATTAATCCATATAAATATTATTTTACTGTTTATTAAGAGTCCTGGGGCAGCTGCTGCTGGTGTGAAGGGATGGAAAAATGAAGGCAGAAGTGTTACTCCATCGTTTTTGTGCTTAGCTTCCTAAATGCTCCTTGAATTTAAAAAAAAAAAAAATCTCCCTTTTGGGAATCTTAGATAATTAAAAATGTGTGCTTTTCTTGCTGAATCCAGCTTTATTTCAAATGTGTGAAAATTGGTGATTTTAATGCTGATTTTTGATATTTTCAGGACAAAGAACTGGAACACTCCACTGATCTTTGACCTGAAGGAAGGAACTGTGAGTTTGATTCTCCAAGCAGAAAGGTACCTGGCTTTTTAAAATGCTCATTATAAACATAATTAAATAAMATGAATAAAATAATTCATTTCTCCTGGAAAGTGATAATACATTTAAAGTGAACTCTTCCACACAGAACTTCCACAATATCTTGGAAATTTAAGCTTAGAAATGTTGGAAACTGAAAAAAACAATTGCAGGATATTCAACAACGCCCTTTCCATTATTGAAAATACAATTTTTCAGTGTTATTTATTTAATTTCTGTTTGTTTTTTGGGGGTTTTTTTGCAGACATTTTCTTCTTGTGGATGGTGGAGGGCTTTATTTATATTCCTATGAAGGCAGATTGATTTCCTCCCCAAAATACCCAGGCATGAGAACAGACATTTTAAATGCCCAGACGGTGTCACTGAGCAAYGACACCCTGGCAGTGAAGGACAAAGCTGATGAGAAGGGTAAAATCTGCTTTATTTATCAGAAAAATGCATGGATTTATTAGAAAAATTAATTCAAATTATGGGTCTTGCTTAAAATTAATTTAATAACTTCAAGAGAATGATGTGGCTCTGAACTTCCWGCCAATCTGCAGAATATTTCCAGAAAATACTTGAATAAGTTTTTGCTCCCTGGTGGGATTCTGCAGCCAATTTTMTTTCTTTCTAAACATTCACACCCATCAAATGGTGGGTTGAGTAGATCTGGTATTGGGAGCATGGATTTATTCCAAATTCAGGGTGCAAACTTTAATCAGCGCTCAGTGTCATTTCTGGAAATGAAAAATAGTGATGGGAAGTGGAAATTTAGTTTTTTATAAGATCCTTTTTTCACCAGAGTGTGAAAGTCACTGGTAAATCTCACGTGGAATATTTTATCCACTTGCATTGAATTATCCTCAGAAAAGAATGGAAAAAACTGTGAAAAACTGCTGAAATTTTATTATTGAATTATTATTTCAATGAATAAACCACATCATTTTGATTTTCAGTTATCTACATTTTCGAAGCTTTATCTGGGAAGCCACTGGGTGATGGAAAACCTYTGAGCCACAAGGTAAAGTGAAGGATTTCATGGCTTTATTTGRCTTAAAAATTAAGAATCACTCATGGGTTTCCTCAATAATGGCTTGAAAAACCCATTAAARGTTTTAAAATCTTAATTAGAAAAGAGCTTTTCAGCTCTGGCTGACTTTCAGTGCTTCGTGTTGTCTTCAGAATTGTTTTAATCTTCRTGAAATTTTGTTTATAAAACCACAGAATCGTGGAATGGGTTGGRTTGGAAAGGACCTTAAAAACATCTGAATTCCAACCCCATCAAATGCTTTATTCCACAGAGAAATCCCACACAAAGTGCCCTTCCAATTCTGTTTATCAGAGAATTTTGTGCCTTGTTTTTAGGAAAAAAATCAATTTGGTTGAATGTCCAAATGTAAAATCTCCAACACAAAAAATCAGAATTCTCTTCTCCATTTTCAGACAGAGATTGTGGAGATTGCTTTGGACCAGAAAGGACTTACAAGTGAGAGAAAAATCGCTTTTATTGATAAGAACAGAGATCTTTTCATCACTTCAGTGAAGAGGTTTGGGAAAGAGCAGAAGATTGTCAAAATAGGTGAGACAAATTCAAATTCGTGTTTGGCAGGATGCTAGCAGGGAAATGGATTTTTATCTAATACAAGAGACAACATTTTAATTAATTAATGTGAAAATGAGCTTGAAAAAAACCTTGTGGCTTTCATATGTTAGGGGTAGAAACAATTTTAGCACATTTTATCTAAATTTGGGTAATTTCTCTATCAGTTCTATGCAAAGCAGCTGCTGTTAAAATGCAAACTTGGGGTTAAAACCTTAGGAAAGCAACTAAAAATTGCTAAAAACAATAATGCTAAAAATTGCTTGAAGAATTCCCTTTATTTGGGAGTTTCTCATGGAATTGTGTTATTTTTTTTTTCTGTAAATGAAGGGACAATGGTGCAGAGTTTGGCCTGGAATGACACTTCCAACATCCTCTGTGGCATTCAGGATTCCAGGTTCACGGTCTGGTATTATCCCAACACTGTTTACGTGGATAAAGATCTCCTCCCAAAAACCCTGTATGAAAAAGATGCCAGGTAATCAATCATTTTTAATCCAAATAAAATTTATTTTAATTATTTCACTCTTTCCTTAACAGGTTGTGGTTGGGGGAAGTAAAAGCCAGGGTTGCAACTTTGAAAATTCTCTTATCTCGTGGTTGGGAAATGAAGGAAATGTGTTTTAGAAGGAAAATKATAAAGTTTGGGGTTGAAATAATGATGCAGAGTTTAAAAGTAGAGCAGAGTCTTGAAGTAAAAGCAAAATTTGAATTCTTTCCCATGAAATACTACCTCAGTTTTCTGTAAAAAACAGATAAGACTTGTTGAAATTAGGTTGGAAACTGAAAGTAGCAAAATACCACGACCCAAGTTCAATTCTTTCCTGTAAAATGTTCAATTCTTATTGAACGTTCGATTTTTTCTTGCAAAAACAAATGAATATTCGCTAAAAAATGTTCAATTCTTGTAAAAGCGAATGAATATTCACTGAAAAATGTTCAATTCTTGCTGAAAAATGTTCAATTCTTATTGAATGTTCAATTCTTTCCTGTAAAAAGAAGTGACTATTTTCTGAAAAGTGTTCAATTCCTATTGAATGTTCAATTCTAATGCTCAATTCTTATTGAAAGTTCGATTTTTTCCTGTAAATAGAAATGGATATTCAATGAAAAACACTCAATTCTTATTGAACGTTCAGTTCTTCTAAAAACAAATGAATATTTGCTGAAAAATGTTCAATTCTTGCTGAACAATGTTCAGTTCTTATTGAACATGCAATTCTTTCTTGCAAAAACATGGATATTTGCTGAAAAGCGTTCAATTCTTATCGAACGTTCAATATTTTCCTGTAAAAACAAATGAATATTGGCTCAAAAATGTTCAATTCTTCTGGAAAAATGTTCAATTCTTACTGAACGCTCAATTCTTTCTCGCAAAAACAAAGGAATATTCGCTGAAAAATTTCAATTCTTACGAAATGTTCAATTTTTTCATGTCAAAACAAATGAATATTCACTGTTTTTTCTCTCTGCTGGCAGTGAATTCAGCAAGAAGCCGCAGATTGTGAGTTTTGTGGGCAGCCAGGTGAGGATCCGCAGGGCAGACGGGTCCCTGGTTCACCTGCACATCTCCCCCTACCCCTCCATCCTCCACGGCCACGTCAGTGCCTCCCACTGGGAGGAGGCAGTCAGGCTCTGCCGTTTTGTCAAGGTAAAGCTGATTTTTGGGGTATTCAGGTACATTTCATGGAGTATTTATGGTTTTTTATAGTGTATTTACGGTTTGAAGTCTTCTTGTAATAGTGGTCCTGCTAAAGGATCCACAGCAAATGTTGCATCTCATTTCCGTCCTGCTTTGTCCCTCATTTTTTTGGGGCTGCTCATGGAAAATTTGATGATTTTCTTAATTCCATAATATACATAATTTCAAAATCAATTCTTATTTTTAATCACACCAAAGTCCAGTTGGATCGAACTGAGGTGCTCACATAACTCAGTAAAAAATTTAAATTTTCAGGACTAGGCCTTAATATAACCAATTAAAAGTKACAGCTCCACCATTTCCTGTTCTTTTTCATCTTTTATTTCACTTCTTTTTATTTTTTTTTCCTTTTTCATTGCTTTCTTTTGTATTTATTTAGACAACAGCAACAGATGAGGTGAGTGTGGTAGTTTTTCAAACAACAAAATCCCTCCAAACCCTCATTCCCATTTATTCCTAGAAAATTTAGCACTTTTATYGTGACTTTAAATGTGTATTTCAGATATTTGTGTCATTGAATTATTAAATTAATGCACATCCTGATAATTTGGATTGTATATTTATAATTTAATGTAACAGAAGCTTTATTTTCAGTGTCCACATCACATGGACTAACAAATCAAAAATTAAACTTTTCTTGTCTGAATAGAGTTTTAGATGTGGTAGCTTAAACTATGGTAAAATATGGTTTATTGGTKTGTCATTGTCATAATGTTGGCACTTGAAAATACATCAGAAATACCATTTGAGATCTTCCTAAAGTGATTTTGAGTTCATGGAGTTTCTTAAGATTGTATAAAAAAGCCACAAAAACCAATAAAAGGATCTTTAGGATCTTCCTAAAAGTGATTCTGAGTTCATGGGCCTTCCTCAGGATTGTATAAAAAAAAAGAAAAAAGCCCCACAGAAACAGTAAAAGTAATAAAAATAATAATTTTGAATGTCATTTTATTGCCATTAAGTTTTCTTATTCCTGGTTCTGAGAATTAATTAATTGTTTTGTAATAAGAGACTGAGACCACAATGCCATAAATGGCACACAGAGAAATGTRTTATTGCCCAGAATTTTCAGGCCTCGTGTGCTTCCTTTCAGAAGTCATTTGTGACGTGATAACAAATGTTTGAAGGTTTAGAAATGGTTTTTATTTTGAATTTCAGGATCARACCCTGTGGGCTTGCTTGGCTGCCATGGCAGTGGCCAACAAGGACATGACCACAGCTGAGATCGCCTACGCRGCCATCGGCGAGGTAAGAAAACACTGTTCAACCCCAACTAAACCACTCCAAAACTGAATTTCTTGCTSAATTTCCCTTCTGTCCCCCTCGTGAGCAGATTGACAAAGTGCAATACATCAATTCCATCAAGGATCTGCCATCCAAGGAGTCCAGGCTGGCTCACATGCTGCTGTTCAGTGGCAACACGCAGGAGGCTGAGACCCTCCTGCTGCAGGCAGGMCTGCTCTACCAGGCTATTCAACTCAACATCAACCTCTACAACTGGGACAGGTAGGATTTCACCCTTTAAAATACGTTTTTCTCATTATTTCAATCAATTCTTTTATTGCTGACTCATTTTTTATCTTTTCATCACCCATAACTTTAAAAAAAATAAATTTAAATCGCAGCTTGACGGTAACCAAAACCAGCGACATTTTTGTGTCGTGTTTAGAAAACACAAATATTTGGTGAGAAAAGGCCAAATTATTCCTGGAAGCATTTTGAAATAACATTTTGCTTTCTCACCAGTGTTAGCACAGAGGAGTCCTCAGTGATGCCCCAGACTGGCTGTGGAATTTGGGCTGCTCTGAAATGTCTTGTTGCTAAAAATAGAGCTGTGGCTACTCAGGCTCCCAGCTTTGTGTGGGTGGAGAAAACAGCAATTAGGGCTGAGAAAACAAAGGAGGAATTTCTCCTTTAAACAAAGCTCCCACGTTTTCTGACAGAACCCTCAGASCTGTTTACTCCTCATTTCTCTGCTATTAAATTCATACATTTAGGCAAAAGGTTGATTTTCCCCCACAAATCTGTGATTTTTGTTTGTTGCCTGTGCTGAAGCTGGATATCAGGAAAAGGATATTTTTTTGTTCCATGTATCATCTAAAAACTCTCTGTATATCAAACATAAAATRTTTTTAAGCCATTGAGAAGAACCCTGCTGTAATGGATAAATCTTTCCCACTATATAATATTTATAAATATTACATAGAATATATCATAAATAGGTATTATGAGTGTTCAGAACCTATTTCTGACTATAAAAAGGTTATTAAACATTATTATTTTTGCTCTTTTTGCTAAACTCTGAAATATTCTGCATTTCCTTAAAATAAAAAGCCTCCTGTGGTCACATTAATGACATGGCGAGGTTGTCAATGGAAACAATTGTTGGATATTTTTCCTCACTGGCTGCTCTGAACYTGCTGATCCCACTGGGGAAGGGTTGGATTTGGGATCTGTGCCCCCAAATTCCCAGGATCTGCCCCCAGAGCCTTCCCCCATCCTGCCCAGCCCATTCCTGCTCTTTCAGAGCCCTGGAGCTCGCTGTGAAGCACAGGACACACGTGGACACTGTCCTGGCCTACAGACAGAAGTTCCTGGAGGATTTTGGCAAAAAAGAAACCAACCAAAGATTCCTGCAATATGCACAAGGTGTAAGTATCCCTGGGGATTGTTCTGCTGCTTCMCACTCAGCTTTGGGGCAAATTGGGGAGGGTCTGCACCTCTGTTCTCCTGCTCTGGTTCCAGTGTGAACAGAAAAGGGAGRTTTTGGCAGCTGCTGGTTAGGAATGGCTGTGTTTGGGTTTTATTTGAAGGCACAGATAGACCATGGATATCCACAGATACACAATATATTGAATATCTGGCAGAATTTAATAATTTCAATGCACAACTGAAGGCAAAGTTGTTTGCTGTGAACAGGGAGATGAGCTTCACCAGGGTTCCACATGGCTCTCTGATGATTCTGATAGATATTGGAGATAACCCTGATTTTCTTAAAATCCATGGAAATCCCCTCGTTTTTCTGATTGACATTGGAGATAATCCTGATTTTCTTAAAATCACGAAAATCCCCTGATGTTTCTGATAGATATTGATAATCCTGATTTTCTTAAAATCCATATAAATTCCCTGATGTTTCTGATAGATATTGGAGATAATCCTGATTTTCTGAAAATCATGGAAATCCCCTGATCCATTTCTTTTCTTGTCAAGCATTTTTGGGAAGCAGCAACTCTTGTCCCCCCAATTTTGGACYGGGATATTGTTAACTGAGGTTTCACTGACACAAAACATGGCCAGAAAATACCAAATCTCTGCAGCTGGAGCAATGCCAGGATAAAGTTACACCATTTCTTGATGGAGAAGGGTAATTCCAAGCAGAAATCTGATTTCTGCTGGAGCTGATAACTGSTTTGAAATCCAATCAGCTTCCTTGGAGGAGACATCTTCATGAATTATTGATCCRGGGTAAATTTTCAGTAACAGGACACTGATGTCATGGCATTGAATTAGAAGAGGGTTATTTTTGTGTTCTGTTCCCAGACACACTGAGATGTTGGGGATTTATTAAAATATCTCCAGCTTGGTTTATTTTAAAGGTGGAAGCTCAGAACTCGACTGTGCTTTCATATCTTTCATGAGTAAATGTCAAATACTTGATACTCTGTAATTTTATTTTCAAATTTGCTGGTGAATAACTGACCTTTCTCTGATGCTGAGCTCTGTGTGTTTAATTTTTCTGTTCTTGCAGCTGGAAGTGGATTGGAACAAAATCAAAGCCAAGATAGAGATGGAAATTGCTAAAGAAAGAGAACGAGCAGCAKCCAGCTCTGCAGGGAGGACCAGTGTTACTGTGCAGCAATAATTGACATTTTGGGCACCTTTCAAATGCTGCTTCACTCTTTGGTGCTGCCTTGTGCTGACAAATATTTTAAAAAGCCACAGCAAATGTTTTGTGGGCCACAGAAGTGAGAATTCCTTGATTTTCACCATTGGGTGACACACGGGATGAATGATTTCCTTTCATTTTGAGCTGGGTTTATGTTCTGGTGCCACTGAGTGCTGCATGTATGAGGGGAAAAGGGAATTTCCTGTTTCTCTCTTAGTGGCTTTGAAATTTTCATTGCCATTAAAATCCTTTAACCTGGCTTGCCTCAAATGAAGTCCCAGTTTAAGCCCCAATTTAAGCAGTTTTGTGATTTCTGCAGCATCTGAGGCCTCTCCAGACTCGTTCAAATTGCCCTGAAACAAATTTAGCAAACTCAAAGTGCTGAAAACGTAAAAAAAAACGGAGCTTGAGCCCCCAAAGTACAAATATTTCTCTCACAGTTATGGTAATACATCCACATGAAGTAAATTGTTTAATAAATTATTTCAGATGATTTCAGCAGCTCACGTTTGTCACTGAGCAAAGCATTCAGCAGTGAAAGGTATTTTCTTGTTTCAAATGCTTAGCAATATGCTTTTAGGGTTGTTGGAAGTGACAAACAGCATTTGTAGCATCTGATCTGTAAAACTGACATTTTAAATAAGTATTTCCTGTATTTTTTTTCTGCTTGATTTGTAAATATTTTTTTTACATTTGTGTTATTTYATCAAGATACATTTTTCTTTGTTTTACACGCAGAGCTGGCTGCACTCTGCAGAAACCCTTCATGTTGTAAATATATRAACAGGTTCTTCACCACTGACAGGGTGTATTTTGTATTTTTCAAACGTTTCCATCCAAATGTTCAATGTTTGTACAGACAGCAAATCCCTTCTGCTTTGTAAATCATCCTGTGACCCTTCCTTGCATAATTCATCAATTCCTTCATAAAACCAAATAAAAGGTTGAGGTTTTTAATGTGTCTGAGAGCTGCTTCATGAGGGGATCTCTGCTAAAGGAAGAATATTTGGGGTGTTTGAATTCTGTTTGGAGGTGATGGGAGTGGGTTGTTAATTCTGTTTTTATCTCACACATCCAGACCTGAGTATTTTGGTGTTAAACAGAAAACAAAGCAAAATATTTTGGGAAAGCACTTTTATTCCTCATTTTCACCGAGTTCTAAACACAATTACGAGCTTGGGGTAGGAAATCTTAATTTCAGAATATTCTTRGGAGAAAACATTTTTTATTTGGCTTTTCTGGGATTGTGGCAGGGATTTTAGAGATTGTAGTTCCAAGGGAAGGGCCATCCATCTGTGCCGAGTAATTTGGAGCTGATTTTTCTAAATTTTGCATTGTATTTTTGCCTGTTTTCAGTTCTTTCAGTATTAAGTAAAAAGGAAGAGCAGAAGGATACAGATGTTTCAGGTGTGTATTGGTTACATTATTGCACAGAACAAGAAATGGTTTTAAAACCCTCTTTTAAAAATAAATAAATAACCCCTTMTTTAATTACTGCTAGATTTAAGTAATCAACCAATTTAAGAAACAGATTAATTAACATGATGAAAATTCAGTTGTTTGGGTGTGGTTGTGATGGATGAAACACCAAAAATAACTTAAATTTTGCCACTGCAAAGTGGGAGTTGAGTTAATCTACTTCATTTAACCTTGAGCACCATAAATTCTCTCAGTTATAAAAAGGGTGATTGAAAAATTCATCTTTAAGTGAAAAATAAAGTCTTGAAGTGAGATAAAGGTAAAAGCTCAGGTGGGTGTTTAAAAACTGCATATTTTTCATAGTTCAGAGGAAAAATTTTAAAATATCTTTTGTTTTCTGGTATTTAAGGCAATARAAACTTTGAAATCTGGATTTGTCTGTGGCATTTTACCCTTTGGGACTGGAATGGGAGGAAGGTTTGAATCATCTGACGTGAAAATTGAATTTTACAGATTATGTGGAACCGTTTCCTGCAGAAATACTGGTRATTGTTGCCTTACTCACTTCAGAATAGTCAAAATTACAAAGAAGCAATAATGGAAAAGCTTGAAGCTTTCTAATATTTAATTCTGACGTTTTAATATATATTGATATAAATACAGAGAATTATAAAGTTTGTTTTACCCAAGATGAGGGAAGTTGGAGAAAAGCAATTTACTATTTTTTATATTGTATTTTATGTCTTTTATATTGATTTCCCCTTTTTAAAAATTAAACATAGACATTTTGAAACCTCCATTTCTTAATTTTCATGATAGCAGAGATGATATTTTATTCTGCAGGGGATGGGGAAGAATCAGGGAGAAAAAAGATCCTTATGAACTGACCACATGTAAGAATCTCCATTTCCAAAGTTGATTTTTATTGATGCTTTTTTATTGATCAGTCAAGAATTACCCTGTGGTATAAAAATTTCCAATAGTGGAATTTAACCTGTTAATTTTAGTTCAGGTGCCTTTGCCCTGCTGTAAAAGTTTTGGGAAATAGGAAAGTCTGGTACTTTCAGGGGAAGAGAGGGATGAGTCTGCACAGAATTTGGTTGTACAAAAATTAAAATGTTTCATGATTTCTGTGGYTTTCCTGACGGGTCTGAAAGAATTTTTTTTTTCCTTATAGAAAAAGATATTTGTGGTAGTTGGAACCCTGCAATTTGGAAATGCTCTGATCTGTGTTTTAAATCAACCTGCAGGATTTCTTTCAARAGAGAAAGGGAAGGGCTCGAGGCTGCAGCTCTGCACTGACCACCTCGCTTCAGATGCTCAATTCCAGCTAGAAAAGGGCAAAAAAAAGAAGAATTTTCTGAAACCTTGGGGCACGAAGCAGTTCCGTTGTCAGGAGAGTTCAGGTGAGSTGGTGGGGACGCTGTAGGGAGAATTGAGGAGGAAACGAGGCACTGGCAGCTCGTTGGGGTGGGGTGGAGGTGCTCTCTGCCTTCCCTTGGTGTTCCCCTCGTTCGAGGGCACSTCCCGGGGATATTTATTTCCCTTGGGGCAGGAGGGTCCCAGGTCACCCCAGTGACATCAGGACGTGCTGATGTTTTATTYTAGCGGATTTTGGAGGGGTTCCCTCCTTTCCTGCTGCCCACACCAAGGTTCCGCTGTGGGATGCCAGGGTGACAGCCTGGTCCTGCTGTCCCCAAGCTGCCACATCCCCCTGGCACCCGTGGGTGTGGCAGGAGTGAGGGTCACCCAGTTGTGTCCGTGCAGCTCAGTCCCACAGCTGAGCGATCCCAAAATTCCCGGGGAACACGAGCCGCGGCAGGGGGATTTGGGAATGCTGCACCAAATCCACGCAGAGCGTGTCCTCGAGCTGCACGGGATGTCCCCAGGTCACCTTCCTGCTGCAAGTCCCTGCAGGACTGTGCCATGTCCCTGTGAGGAGCCCTGGTGTCCTGCAGCRTGTCCCATCCCTCCGTGGGCCCTGGAATCCCGCACGTCCCAGTGCAGAGCCGGGATTGTCCACGAAGTCACCGTGCGTGGGGAGCCCTCGGGGGATCCCCAATGTCCCTGGGACGTGTCCCGCAGGTCACCCTGCTTTGGGGATCCCCAATGTCCCTGGGACGTGTCCCGCAGGTCACCCTGCTCCGGGGATCCCCAATGTCCCTGGG